TTAAAATCTAGATAATAATTTAAAGACGTTACATGAGATGAATCTTTCAAAATATAATATATATTTAAAACAAACCCTTTTCATTCATGCCAAAATCACTTGAATGTATTAGTAAATATAAGGTTATGGCAATTTGGCAAGTTAGTCAGACCACTTTGTTGGATAAGTTTACTATAGTTGGTCATTAGTTGGGTAAGTTGAGTATTTGGACAGTTGAACCAATGCGAAGCACATTAAATTAATAAAGTATTTATGCATGGTAAAAGAGGTTGTTGGCTTGCTTTTGAATTGAGAAACATGCAAACACACTACTCGGTTGCAATTGGAAAGCAGCCAAAGTGCTGAGCCGTTGATCAAAATGACATATGGAAATGGAAAGTCTAACTAACATCAGAGCTCAACCACCATTACCACTAGAAGAATGAAGATATCAATATAATTGCAACATTTGAAACCTCGTTCATCAAAATATCATTTTTTACATATTTTAATAACTTTACTTTAATATCAATTAATTTAAGGATAATTTTGTATTAACTTTATAAATATAGTAACTATTTCGTAACATTTAAAATTTTAATAAATAATAGAAAATCATTTAAATTTGATATTCTTTATTCTTATAAAATTGAGGAAAAGAACAAATGACACGTACTATATCCATCTACAATATCAACAAACAATGATTTTGTAAGAGGATTCAACGTTGGGATAATCCGATTTTACACACATATAGTATATAAGTATGATGATAATTTAACCCGAAATCGATAGATTTTAATCCAATATGATCTGATAGGGTAAGATTTTTTTTAAAATATCCAGGTCGGATTTGGTCATGTCGGATTTTATAAAAGATCGAGGCTGAGTCGGGTCAAAGTCAAGTGGAGAGTGAAAAATCTCCGATCCGACTCGACCCGATGGTAATAATATAATTTTTTCAAATAAATTTATGGATAATTATTATAATACTCATTCTCTCTATTATTTTTTAATTAAGTCATTATTTTATATAAGGTCGTGTCGAATTTCTATTCTAAAATTTGGGTCAATTTAGAATGAGATGAGATATATATTTTCAGATTGACTCAAATCGAGTAAAATATATATATTTTTCAAGTCTGATTAAATTGATAAAAACTAATACTAACCCAACCTATTACCATCCCTGGTCATAAGGGCATTAGTTTTGCAAAACCGATGAATGAATATGTTTCATCACTTTGTTAAAGCATAATCATCTTCCAATGTGAATGGCATCTTGTTCAAGTCCTCATGCCAACGTATTTTCTCGGATTATCTCTACCGTTTCTTCGCCGAATACGAGGCCCTAGAAAGCCCTATAATTTACCACCAAGCGTTATCTAACAAATTACTTGACAATTATATTATATTATATTATATATCTATTGGCATACAGTTAATTTTTTTGGGACACGTCCTAGATAGTCCCGACATAAAGTAGTCTATGAACCGTGCGTCATCCCCGATATCACATCTCCATCCACCGAAACCCCAGATACATAGAAAAATCCTCAAGTGTAATTTTGCACTCTCCGCACGGAATATGAAATGTGTGGGTCTTCGGCCTCCACCACTTCACTAAGGCAACAATAAGGTATGGTTCTATCTTACAGTGACCCTCATATCTACCTATGTGACCGAGTTCATTTCTACTAAATACGGTAAGACACGGCTAGGTATCACTAATTTAAGGTTCCTAATAAAAGGATCTAATACACGATCCCTCTCCTAAAATTAAATAATTACAAAAATTAATTTTTAAACTAATAATCATGCATTAAATAAATAAATAAATTATTACTAATAATTTAAATTATATTAAAATGTTAAAATGTTACTGTATCAATAAAATGTCGCGATATATGATTTTCATCCAAGCAAAATAGACCTCCTTCCGTTTTATATCTGTAAAAAACATTAATTAAATAAAATATTAAAAAATTTAAATACTTAAATAAATTAAAAAAATATTAAATATAATAAAATATACCTTAAACAGTTAAAATAGAATATAAGAGTATTTGAGAGAAGTTGAGAGGATTTGATGTTATGAAAGTGATTGAGAATATGAGTATTTATAGGGAGGGGTGGGGTGTGAACGGTCGGGGTAGGTGGGTAACTAAACCTAAGGCGCGCTTCAGGGGGCGCGCCTTTCTGACGCGTGTCAGATTTAAAGGTAAAGCGCGGCCCCTGCACGCGCTATACCCCACGTGATGCCAGATTAACGTAAAACGCGCTGTAGGAGCGCAGCTTACTGCAAAATATGTTAGATTAAAAAAATAATCTAAAAGGTGACAAGAAAATATATAAAGTATAGGTGATATTTCGGAAAAAATGTCGGCAAAGCAACCATGGTGGTATTCAATGATCTTCTTTAAAGGTCATAGGCCTTTCATGGGGTCTACCCCTTTGTCTAAAAGCTGATTGCAACCTAAACTTATCCTTGTGGGAAATAGTATAATTGTAACATAAATTATTAATATTGATTGGATAATTAAATTGAATTAAAATATAAATTCACACATCAATTGTATTGCAGAAGAATCAATACTTAAAAAGTAAATCTATTATTATTAGTGTTAAGGTTGGACCTAGAAGGAGCGGTCAGCTCTTAAAAATTTTAAATTTTTATGTATTTTAGATATTTTTTAATATTTTTTATTAAAAATATATATTTACCCTCAACATGAAAATTTACGTCTGTCCTTTATTGATATAATTGTTGAATTGAACATATTTTTTGAGACTAACATAATTTTAAAAAAAAACATACGTTTAATAATTTTAAAGTGGATAATAACAAGTACTTATCTTCTCTAAAAAGAAAAAAAGTTTATTTAAAAAATATCTTAAATGATAGAAATAACTACTCAAGAAAAGAAAAGTAAAATTATGTGGAGAGGAGAAAAGAGGTTGAGTACTATTAAATTGAGTTGAAATGAATTATTATTTATAAATTAAAATATATGTAGTCGTATTTATAATCTAATTTTTAAGATATGAATTCGATAGGGGTAAAAAACATTAATCTTCTTTATCTATAAATTCATCGAGATATTTTCATTAAAATCATATAAAAAATTATGAGATATGAATTCATTAAGAGCGAATTATTCATCTTTATATATCAATAAATCGATTAAATTCTCTTCACTGTAATCTTCTAAAATTTAAGATGTAAATTCGAACAAAATTTTATATATATATATTATGGGTCAAATGAAAACTCGACCGTCATTAGTGATGCTTCGATGTGTTGGTATGTTAGCAGGCAATGATTTGTTCCGTTTTATTGTTTTTGGGGAATTACATCTTTTTTCTTTTCAGACTGGTTAGATATAGCTCATTTCTGGGCGTTGGAGAGAAGCGAATCAATGGGTAACTTTTAAAAGCGACGTTTTTGTTTCAATCGTCGCTAATGCTCATATGATAAAGAGAGAGAGACATTCATGCACAATTCTACAAATTATTGGAGCCCATTGCCTTACGCTTATTCCTTACATTCTCGAAATTCCTCCATTTATCTATATATGATTGTTTCTATCACGTGGATTATCGTTTTATGTATGCCTATAAAAGAACAACCTCTCGTTTCATCTCACACGCTATATTATTCTCCCATAACCCCAAATTACAAAGGAAAAAGAAAACCAAAATGCGACCACCGCAGGCGCCACCGGTTTCTTCCAGCAAACCATCGCTGACATCTTACACTTCGAACTCCACGTGTACTCCCCACATTTGCAGGTGGCAGCCTTACACAAACTCAAATAATTTTCAAGATAACGTTGCTATGGTCTTAATCATTCTCTTCTGCGCTTTAATCTGCTCTGTGGTTCTTAACGCCACCGTCCGCTGCTTCTTACGCGGGGTTCTTGGCGGAGGTGAACACCGCCCGCGGCGTTTCGGCGACGGCAGCCACCTTCCTCGTACCCAGCAGGAGATAGGGAGAGAAAGCCACACCCGGAGTCAGGTACAGCACGCATGGTGGCGGCTCCGACAGTGGTTTACTCGGCCGGTATGGAGCTCGCCGGAGCGGAGGGTGGTGAACCCGAATGTGCAATTTGCTTGTCGGAATTCGAGGAGGGCGATGGAATTCAAGTGTTGGCTAAATGTAAACATGGTTTCCATGTACAATGTATTCAGCGGTGGTTGGCTTCCAACTCCTCGTGTCCCACTTGCCGTTGTAGCTGTCTTCGGCCGTCGTTGACATTGGAAGAAACTACTCATCAATGCATAGACGACGGTTCCCGACCAGCGATGCCGGACCAGGAACCATAGCAAGCTTTAGTTGCTCTTTTTTATTCCGTACGTATTTAACATATTCGATTTTTTTTCTGATTACCTTCCTGGTTATAATCTCTTATATAACTCCGGGATACCTGAGAAATCGATTGTAAAAACACACACACACACACACAAACAAGTTGCCGGAATAGTAAACTAAAAGAGAGGAAACCCGAGCTGAGAGTGGAGTGAAGAAGATGAAAGAGGAAATGAAGTTTGGTAGATTCTAGAACTGTGTTCTGATCATATCCATTAGTACTGTTTTATTCATTAATGTCGGGGGCTCATTAATGAAGTTTGAATGTATAGTAAATGATTATTGAGCCATGGGAAGCGGATGGAATCACAGCAAAGGCAGGGAGATATCTGCTGCTGCTTTTAATTATTATCCTACTAGATGAATGATCAAATTACAATGCAAAATTAAATCTTTAGCTTAGCATGAAATTTAATATATAAAATTTTAATCATTTTGAATTTTAACCGAATATTAATTATTGCATCATTCATCCGAATGTTTGCATTATATTAAATTAAATTAAAAATTGGTAATCTTTTAGCATAAATTCAAAGTTCCATGTCAAAATTTCTGGCAACAATAAGACTTTGCAGAAAAGCTAATTGCCAAAATGATATTCGTTGAGGAACAATTCTATTATCCAACACACAACTTAAAATGAGAACCATAATTAGAGTACTAACGATCAAACAGATAACCAAAATTCTCCAGACGATAAACAAAGATAACATCCTCGCACTCTGCAATCCATGGAAAAAGAAAAACAACACAAGAACCGAAGTCCTAAGATATTACCACGACATAAAAATAAAGCTGCTTGTAACTATTACTTGAGATAACAATCATTCCTCTTCGGCGATCCTGCCCTTCTCACTAACATAGATACCGTCGAGGAACTTTCTAATATCCTTGTTCTTCACATGGCATTTCTGTTCCAAATGAATGTCAGATGATACGATTATTGAAGTATCGCATAAATCATTTGAAATACTCGAGTAAAGCGTTAATGTTATAAACATCCTAGACAAGTACCTGGTTTATCAAAGCTGCAGACCGGGAAACAAGTTCGATGTCATTACCATCCAAAACAATCTCATCCTTAACCTTCTCGGATCTCACAATGGAAACCCCTTCCAGCATATCCACCTTACGAACCTGAGGTTTAACAAACAGAAGACCAGCCGTATTTAAAAGACATTGTATAAATATAAAAAATAAACACCAACTCTTAAAACAATAATAGCATGGCAATTCAAGTGTAAACATGGTTAACATATAAAAAACCACCACAGATGCAGAACACAAGGAATTAACCAAATTTGCATACAATGTAAAAGAAGAAAGAAAAACATATATCCTATGGAACATGGGCCAACCCAACAAATCTTGCTCACGGGTTTGAGTTAGGACTTAGGGTTTGGGGACAGATATTCCAATGGATTAACAAGAGATCGTTCTCAGTGAATGTATCATTGTGAACAGAAAAGATTCCATAAAGAGGTTCTGTTAAATCATTAGGCATAAAGGAACCACACGCTTCTTCTGGAATTGGTAGAAAGCAATTTATGATTTCAGCATATTTGTACGCTAGACTAGGCTGTTTCAACATTAAATTTATTGTAACTAAAGGTCATATCAAAATGACGAATCATCAAACAAATATTTTCAGAAATAGAGATTGCACTTAGGAAAACCTAGAAATGCCTTGAATAATAAAATCAACAGTAACAGTCAAATTCAACATAAATATAAGCAGAAATATATATATATATAAAAGGAAGGAAAGTGAGAGAGCGAGCGAGAGAAACCTTCTTCTCGCCAAGGAAGTTGCGGATCTCGATGGACTTGTTGCCGTTAGTGATGGAGGCGTTGATCGGAAAGTGAGCGTAGACGAACCTCATCTTGTAACGGTATCCTTTAGTGACTCCGGTGATGAGATTCTCGACGTGGCTGAGAGCCGTACGGATGGCGGCGCTGGTCTTCCTGGAGCCAAACCAGGCCTCGATCCTGAGCTTGCGCTTTCCGGTCTCTTCGTCCTTGATGAGATGGAAGTCGAGGTTGAGGTGCTTGAAGTTGCGGGTGAGCTTACCCCTTGGACCTTCAACCTCGATCATCTTGGCCTTAACCTTAATGCTAACCCCTTCGGGGATGTCCATGGTCTCGGAGGAAAGAATGGTCTTCATTTTGGCTCTTCGAAGCTTTCCTTTCAAAGCTCTGTCTTAGGCGGCTTCGAGGAGAGGTTGAAGAAACCCTAAACCTAGCTGAGGCCTCTTATATACCTAATTCGGAGAACGCCCATAGATGGGCTGCTCTAGTTGTTTTTAGATCAGTCCAAAAATTCCAGTTTAATGGGCCTCGTGGTTGAATTGTAAATTTGTAAAGTTTATTTGCCAATAATAAATAATCAAGTAAAAAATATTTAAATATTCAAGTCTTATATGTTAAAAAATGAATTTCCTGTTTATATTTTCATCATCTTTTTATGAAATCTATAAGCAGATTTGATGAGAAATTATTTCTATATTTTATTGAACCTTGTTGAGTTCATAACATTGAAAGAAAATCACAATATTAAGAGAAGCTGTTGGTGTTGATTGTTGTTCATTTTTTCACTTCAGTGGAGAGCTATGAATTAAGGCTAGTGGTTAAATTTAGGCCCAGTCATTAGAATCAAAGCTTGATAGAGGAAGGAGAGAGGCTTTGCGCGCCTTTAGATTTAGCAGGGTTCCAATTTGTAATGCTCGTGGGCTGATACAATAAATCGATCAATCTAATTAGAAAAACAAACGTTATTATTTCTTATAACAATTTGATAAAATTTAATAATTATTGTATTAATTTTAAATTTTAAGTGATCAAAACAATCATTTAAACATAATATGCTTTACTATTGGCAATAATAATACTAACATACGATCTTCTTATTGGCAATAATGATATAATGCCAATTCAGAAGTAACATGTCGGAGGTTGAAAAGGAGAGAGAAATTACAACATTACAAATACAAAATCAAATACTCAACAAACAACAGTCGGGTGTTACCCTAAACAATATGGCAAATTCCTGTACAATTCATATCAACCCTTCATGGAGATTGTGGCTATCCGTAAAGCTCTGTAGTCCGGAACAGCTCACATTTACAAGTGATCTTTATTGTCGTCTTCCAATTTGTACGAGCTGAAGTGATTGACCTTGAACTTCCATTCTCCTTTGATGGGATCATACGACAGAAACTCGGCTCCTTGCTCCTCCGCCTTCCTCTTAAGCACGTTCTTGTATCTCTCAACTCGGGGGCCTTCTGAATATTGCTCTGAGGTCTTTTTATCGAAGCATTTGATGTTGAGAAGTGTTACCTCTGCGGGTTTATTAAGACCTTGTCCGACAGGAGGTTTCTTGCTGTCGTCCAGGTAAACGATCACCTCGCGGTTGTTGAACTGGACAAGGGACTCCAGATCAAGACGTCTCACATCTGTCTCTCCCAGGAATTTGATGCTCCCGTAACCATGCCGCCCGACCACAAAGTCCTTTACACGGCGACAGTACCCTGGTTCAGCCCTTTCCTTAGCTGCCAGTTCTTGGGTTCGAGGTTCCGTAAAGTAGTCAGACCGGATGAGCTTTGGCATTAGAGCCTCGATGTCAGCCCCATGCTCATAGACAATAGCCGCCTCACTGGCTCTGTGGCCACCAATCCTCTTGTACGAGTCCTCTTTCTCAACAGAATGATCATCCTGGACTCCGTTAGCCTTTTGGTTACCTTTAACAGGATGGATTCGCAACTTCACATGGGCATTTTCAGCAGGATTTTCTACAATGATCATACCAATGCAATTTTCAGGAATTAGAAATAGTTCCTAAATCAATCGCGGAACAAGACAAAGGGAGAACTTTAAGACCGATGCAATTTTCAAATTATAATAACATAAATTTGATAAAATGGAAAAATACGAAATTAAAGGCGATTACAGTTTCAGGTAAAAGATACTACTTACCATCTTTATCCTCGGCTTTGTAGCCATCATCAGAAATTTTGCCTAAATAAAAAGGATGCTTCAAAAAGTCAGTCACAAGCAGTCAAAAATTAACTAAACAGGTCATAAAATGAATTACACACAATTCAAAAATCCGAAAACAAAATCACTGCATTTTCTCAATTCAATAAGTTATATGATTCGAAGCAATAAACTCACCCCTATTTACAAGCTTCTCTTCTAATCTAATTCACCTGGTCCGGAAAAAGAAATGTAGATGAGCTTGAAAGAATCTTACCATTCTCATGCACTGGAGAGGATGCATCCTTCAATGGCGATCTCCTCTCTGCAGAGGCTCTGGAAGGCCAATTTGCCGTAGGACGAATGACTAGAGACCTTGGGTTTTCCCTAGGAAAAATGATAGCATCAGCCTTAGGCACGCTGGGTGTCTCTTCATCATCACTGAAAAAGGAACCTATATACATCAGAACAAAGAAAACAAACATTCGTTAGAACTTGAGCAATGAAAAATCCTTTTAAATAATATCAGAGTTACTATTTTCATGGGACACAGCATCATCACCTTCGGACTGTCCTTATCAGGATAATATTTCCTTGCAGGCAACCTAATCCTCCTTTGCGAATGGTATCGAGAAGTCAATAAGGGGGATATTCTAACAGGAACAGGTTTGTCCACAACCTGATAATTCCATTACCAGTCAACCAACAAACCATTATATTTTAATTTAAACAAAAATCATAGGCAATACTAACTACTAGCATGGAGACAGATAAATATCTAAAACAAGTAAAAAGCAGCAGTTCAATCTTGAAGCATCAGTAGCTAAACCAAGATCAAATTACAGGCATGCTAGAAATTCCATATTGAACAGATGGGGCAGCCCCCGTCCGACCAATTGACATTTGCGGCATAGCAGGGAGTGTTCCATAGGGGTTTGTAATACTTGAGGGTTGAGCTACAGCAGCATTCTGAGTAGCAGACCTGTCAAATAGGAGCAATCAGGATTACACTTCAAAATATAATCATTCAACTATTTGGATAAACAAAGACTTTTTCTGGCATATTTTGCATTTACGTGTGCACAAAAATACAAGAAAAATTTATACTAGTAACAAATATGCATATGTTTGTAGACATATAAATGAATATGTACAAGAGCCGCTCAAAAAAAGAAGAAAAAATCAAAGGAGATAACACATACGACAGGCCAATATTACTCTGACCAAAAATGCTCGATCCACCACCTATAAATCCAGCAACATCATTAATTTCAGCTCTATCAATGAAGGTTTAAACAATCAATGATAACATCTGAGATAAAACCTCTACTACCTGACTGTGTCTGACCAAAATTGCTGAAGCTGAAAGCACCACTGGTCTGAGCTGGCTGAAAAGGTGAAGAGAAAGAGGGCTGCAAAAGCGGCCAAACTCCAAATTAAAATGCAGAAAGAGTTTCAAAGGAAGCATGTTTTACAAAAAAGGGCGTGTGCATAAACTAGACAGAATTGTTACAAATTGAAACTAGCAAAACCGATCAAATCATAAAGCTAGGCATGAATTTTTTCCATAGAATATTTGAAACATATTTCAACGAGTCGTGACATTTAACTAAATCAGTCCCTGTGAACCCTGATCATTAGATATAAAAAACCTATCCTCATAAAATAGCAATTATGATTCTTTATCGAACAAAAAGAAAGGCATCTAAATCCGACAAGACAAAAAACTCTTATTTGGGTCTTTACTATATGCATTATTGCATGATACCAAAGCAAATATCTGGGTCCTACTAGCAACTAAATCAGACATTTCGGGAGACTAAAGCAACAAAATTTTCAGCCTCATTCTACAAACCAAATAACACGAACAAATAATAATAAACTTGATGAAAAGAAGAATGAATCTAATGATTTCACAAGCAACTTACAGTTGTTTGGCCAAAGGGAGCTGGGCTGCTAGAAGGAGCCAAAGAGGGATAGCTTGAAAACATATTCCCACTAAACGCAGTGGAAGGAGTGTTGAAAATGCTTGTTTGACCAAAGTTAGTAGTATTCTGTCCAAATGTAGAGGTTGCCTGCCCAAAAGCATTGCCTGTCTGCCCAATTGCAGGGGTAGAACTGAACAGGGAGGATGTCTGACTGCCGCTAAAATTTAAACCAGTAGCAAATGTAGGCGCTGTTGCCGGAGCCACACCAGTACCAAAAATGGATGGTGAAGTTGAAAATGAAGGAGTGACAGATGAACCAGTTCCGAATGTAGGAGTTGAAGATGAACCAAATATAGAAGTTGTCATTGACGAAGTTGGAACAAAAAGGCTTGATGATGTTGATTGAAAAGGATTTGACGTAGTAGCCAAGGTTGTAAAACCCATACTATTGAAAGATGGAGATTTTAGACCAAATGGATTGGTACTTGTGCTGGAAAAAGGATTTGCAGATGTCTGACCAAATGTTGAAGAGGAGCCAAAAGGATTTGAAGGTGTAGTTGAAGCACCAAAGCCAATCCCTGCAGCTGGATTAGATCCACCTAAAATTCCAAATTCGTGTATCAATGTAGCCAGTGTCAATTAAAGAAAAGAAGAAATTTTAACTGTCCCAAGTTTCACAGATTTACAAAGGTACCTTTATCTCCTGATTGATAATCCTCCCATCTCAACTCCTCATGGCTTTTATCTTTGTAAACAGGCATCGCTGATATTGACTCCAACTTTCCAGCTGCCTGTGTACCACTCCCACCATCTGCTTCAGTAGTAGGAGTGTAAGGAGCTACTCTACTTCCCCCACGTTGACCCCCAAAAGTTGACTGGCCAATGCTAGTGCTTCCAAAAGCTGGTGCAGAAGATTGACTTCCTATATGAGAGTTCAAAAGAATTTAATTACATATATGTAATTTCAAATGTCATAATTAATCAATGTAGATTTTTTTACTCACCAAAAGGAGAACTCTGGGCTCCAAATGCAGTGGTTCCAAAAGGACTATTACCAAATGCTGGTGTTGACTGGCCAAAAGATGGGCTAGACCCAAAGCTGAATGAAGGAGTAGAAGATGCCCCAAAAGCAGGTGTGCTTGGTGCTCCAAAAGTGCCTCCAGTTCCAAAGATCGTGGTGTTAGGCGTACCAAATGCAATTCCACTGCTCCCAAATGCTGGACTTCCAGTTGAACCAAAGGCGGGGGTGCTTGTAGCACCAAAGGCAGGGGTGCTTGTGACACCAAAGGCAGGGGTGCTTGAGGAACCAAAGGCAGAAGTGCTTGTGGCACCAAAGCTACCAACTGCAGGAGTT